ATTTGACATCTTAACAGATCTCAAAACGACATTAGAAGTGAGTATGTTTGAGAAAATGCACCACAATTCACCATCAGCAAATGTCACACAAGAATGTCAAACAAATTTGTTGAAGGTATAAGTTCAAAATGTAAATGTGTCTCAGTATTTCCCCCTCTGCAAAGTCACATACATTACTTTAGTGCCAGTAAATGAATATACTGTCCCTCATGTCACATCTGCTGCTGCCGGTTCAGTGTCTTTGACTCATCACAGTCAGTCTTCTAGATCTCAAGCTATTCTATTCTATTCTATTCTATTCTATTCTTTCATTTCTAAAAACTTTGGAAGTATTCACAGTTGTTCAAGATTCGTTCCTATTTCTTTTCATTTTGTGCAAGAGGAACTTGCATTACTGTCTGTCTCTGCGTGTGTGTGTGTGTGCGTTACCTTCCTGTGCATTTCCCAGAATACCCAGTGATGGTGTTATTTATGAACAGAAACATGCTTATTAGTCAGCACTTTTTTGTTTTTGGTTAAATAGATTTTGTGTTAAACAAATGTTTGTGTAATGTTCTGAATGAATTTGGCACAGCTGTGCAAACTCTGTGTTTCTTGGTTGCATGTAGGAACATTTTCACATGAAGAGAAAGAACCTGTTCAGAAACAAACGGATGATGCTTTTATAAGGGGCTGAAAAAATGTGCTGAAGGAGTCATTTTGGCCTCATGAATTCATAGCAGCACTTTTTATGAAACCTGCATAATGCATTGTACTGTAATTATTTGACAATGCCCTATTATGCACCTTGTTTTCGTAAGTAATAGTAACAGTTATAATATTCATCTTCTTTACATTTACATATATACATTTAGCAGACAATTTTATCCAAAGTGACTTGAACAAAAGCAATTCGTCACAGATATGTTATTATCTATTCACATAACACACAGTGTTTCAGTAACATATCTGATTATAAAGTGCATTATAAGGCATTACAAATGGATTACAATTTATTAAAAGTAATAATTTATTATATATGATTATATAATAATTTATTATAATTTATTAAAAGCAGCCTTTGGTGCTGACATGGCTTAATTGTAATAAATAACCAAGCTGTTTAAAGAATTATGAATAGGTTTATAATGCATTATATACAGTATTGATGCTTTATAGTTGCTAAATTATCATTATGGAATTGTGCAGAATATCACATTCATGCCAAATGAAATCCCCATCCATTGTGAAATCTAGACGCAGTAAACTGAAAGCAAACAGCCTTATCTGTGCTGTAAACTAGTTATGTTGGGAAAGAAAGATTGAGCCATTTCATTATCTGTGGTGAAGTAATGGTGACATGACGCACACTGTGGTTTTGCAGAGTAATGCATGTTCCTGGAATAACAATGAGTTAAAAGAAAAGCATATTGATTTTTACTTACTACCTACTTATTAATTAATTAATTAATGTATTTATTTTAAAACCACAATATAGCTTTTATGACTATTTTCTGCCCTTTCGCTGACTCTTAGAATAAAATGGGCGTTTTTTTTTTTTTTGCTGCTGCTGCTGCACATTGTTTAAGAGCTGCAGGTTTTCTGTTGAATTGAGTGTAGGTCCAAACTTTTATTTTATTTTATTATTTTGGAAACAGCTCGAAGTAAGTTGAGACATGTCTTATTAATTTTTAATTCTGCTTTTTACAGCTAATCAGCCTTGGATACAAACGCCATGAATGACTAATATCTAATGAATTTGTAATATAGTAAATAACGGACTGAAGGTCAGTGATGTGACTTTAGACAAGTTGGGGATTTTGAGGTCATTTGCATTTGTCTCTCAGAGGAACAGAGTACAAGTTATTCCAGTAGTTTGTTTTTAATGTTAAAACAGTCTAAACATCTTTAAAATGCTTTAAAGGGGTCATAGGATGCCCATTCTCCACAAGTTGATATGATTCTTTAGGGTCTTAATGAAAAGTCTGTAACATAGTTTGGTTAAAATTTCTCAATGGTAGTGTAAAAAACACCTTTTTTTACCCTGTCATAAACAGCTCTTTTCAGATCAAGCCGTTTTGTAGCATTTTCCTTTAAATGTTAATGAGCTCTGCTGACTCCGCCCCTCTCTTCCCAGCTGCTCTCTGAGAGACTGTTTACTTTAGCCGCATTCATTGTGAAACTTGCTAATTAGGCACATTATTATGAAAGGCGATTTGTAAAGATTCACTACAAAACCTTATACTCACTTCTTCTGTAGGTGAAGCTGGATCACGAATGATTCGCGTGAACATAGACGCATTTATGTAGA